TCAAAGTGTGCTCCGCGGAGCCCTGGGGCTCCGCAAAGACTTTGTGAGGGCTCCGCGAAGAAAATATTCACAATAAAAAAAAAAACAGTACTATCGCCACAAAATGGAGGGACCTGGCTTGAGGACCTTTTTTTGAGAAGTAATTTTTTTAAGTTACTAAGAAGAAGGAGGATATGATTTTGCTTTAGGATTTTTTTTTATTTTATTTTTTATGGGCGAAATGGATTTGGGATAATTCTTGCAAGGAATCTTTGGAATAAATCAAAAATAAATTAACAACAAATGATGTTCTTGTGCATTTTCAGCCTGTTGCCGATTAAATTATTCGTAGATGCATCAAATGTGGGAATAAGGGCCATGATATGTCATGTTTTTGAAAAACATATTGAGAAATCTATAGCTTCTGCTTCGCGTACCTTATCAAACTCCGAACAAAAATATTCCCAAATTGAAAGAGATGTCGTTGCAATAATTTTTGGCTTAAATAAATTTATTGAATATTTATATGGACATTTCTTTATCCTAGTTACAGATCATTTACCTGTGGTAACTATTTTTAACCCAGCTAAATGTATACCCCAATTTTCAGCCAACAGACTACGTAGATGGGCAGTAATATTCTTAAATTACAATTATAAAATTGAATATGTGAAATCGGAGCATAATATAGAGCCGATTTTTTATCATGTTTACCTATTGAAAGTCGAAATGAGAGTCAAAATAAAGAAACATTTGAAATAAATATTTTAAATTATATGTGTTTAGGACTCCGTTAAATATTTAGCTTTTCAATAAAGGTTCCGTCGCCAAAAAAGTTTGAGAAACATTATACAACTGATTACGAAAAGTTGATTATGTCACCAGTTACGAAAAAAAAAAAAAAAAAAATAAATAAAACTGCCTCTTTTTTGGTTTTTATGTTGAAAAATCGAAAAATCGAAAAATCGAAAAATCGTGAAATCGAGAAATCAAGAAATCGAAAAATCTAAAAAATCTAAAAATCGAAAAATAAAAAATAGAAAAATCCAAAAAACGAAAAATCGAAAAAACCAAATATCGAAAAAAAGGCAATGAATAGTGACATTTCACATTTGAAAATATGACATTACGTTAAACAACAAAAAAGAAAACAAAAAAAGAAAAGCTGTAAATTGCGTTTTATTTTTAAAATAACACCGTTATTGAAAACTGCCCAGAAATGTTGGAGGTAAAATTTTGACGTACGCCTTTAAGGATAATGGGTAAAAATTTTTTTTTTTCAACACTGCACATGTCCCTTATTTTTATTATTACTATTGAAAGAAAAAAAAAACGTCGTAGGGCAATCAAATACAACAATTTCTAAAATGATTGGAAGTACCTACAAAAGAATGATGGTGAATCATTTTTTAACACAATTTTATAAATAATCAAGTCAAAATTAGAAAAAATCTTGCATGTAAACACGTTACGAAATGCCGTTTTGTGTAACTCGTTCATTTTGCGGGACCTCGTTCCGCTTGTTCCGCAAATATTTACTCGTTACACAAAATAAGGCATTTCGTAACTGGTTACATAAATAACTATTAATTGACTTCCTAATATTTTAATTCATTGAACGGTATTTTCCGTAAATAATTAAATCATAAATAATTACCGGCATATAAGTACCAAAACATGTTTTTCTCTTCGAAGAGTAGGCCTATGTCAAATAAACTTAAAATATTATAACGAACGAAAAGGTAACCGTAGAAAAAATCTTGTGTGTAATTCGAGCAAAAAGTACTTTGGCTGTTTCAACAGCTATTTTGTTGCAATAATTTTATAAACTTTTACTTAGGGTTTTGTTAAACGAAGTTTAAAATACTAAACGAAGATTAAAATGCCATTTTTATATTAACAAAAACGAAGTGTAAATTACTAATCGGCCCTTAGCTAGTTATATATTGATAAAGTGTTATTGCCCTCATCATACATGAATCGTGCTAACAAATAAAGTCAAAAAACGTCTCATAATTTTTCATCTTTTAGTTACCCACCAAAATTAGGTACTACAATACAAATATTTAAGTCTGGCCCAGAACATCTCCCTACTCCTTCCACCCAGTTTTTCGGTTTTGGCCAAATTCGCGCAGCGACAAATGCTTCCTATGTTACCTCTACCCTTTCTAACCTCTTTGGTTATGGCGCAATATCTAGCTTCTTATCTACCCTGTCGTTCTATGATGGACGCAGATCCCTTGAAAATACAAAGGTCTCGCGCCAAAACTAAAAACTGTTCTATGAGATAATGTATATAATAATAGAAAATAGATAATGACAGAAATATTTAAATTAATTTAGAAAATAAAATAACACTCTTTAACTAGCTAATAATAGTTTATTGCTTGTAGACCGTCAGATAGTGACAGGCTTAGGTGCCCCATTTTCGCATACAAGCCTTGAAGAGGGTTACAAGATTTTTCACTATATGATTAATTAATAGAACTAGGCTTTGGAAAACCAAATGCTTTAATGTTGCAAGTGGCTAAAGGGTTGAAATAAGGGCGTAATCTTTTAAGGAAAGTTCCACACAAGCCCATCGAATGTATGAAGACGTACATTGTCACTAGTCCGAAAAATATATTTTCTTGAATGATCTACATGTATAAGTGCATTTTGAGGTCGGAAAATTTATCTGATAAGGAAAAACGAATTTTCCATGTGTTATCCCAAAGAGCCACTCGTAAATTTTCTTTTATTCTACTCAACATCGACCTATTTTTCAACTCACTTCGAGGCTTGTATGCGAAAATGGGGCACCTAAATCGGTCACTATCTGACAGACCAAGAACCGAAGGTGTGGGGAGGTTATTAGACCCATTTGCAATTTGGAAATCATATGGTTACTGTGACGTTTGTTTATTTTAAACAACAGTTTATTTGTTAATAATTTATTTAAACACCTATTTATTTTAAAACAATACTATTATAATTTATATATTTCAAAAGTCTTTAAACTGTTCACTATTTATCTTCATAACTGTTTTTATACGACTGACTGCTCCGTTGTTCCTCCACCAATATTTATATACACATTTAAAATTCTGGTAGATTCCAGAATGCTCCCCGCCAAAACTAGAAACATTATCACGTTTTATCTGGAATGTACACGTCACATATGTTTGGTCTTAAGGGGTTTAATTATGTATGATAATCAGACAAGTTGAGCCTCAAAGGCCAAATAAGACTTGGAGGATTAGAGCATGACTGAATAATGAAATAGCTCGCATTACATTACAATAAAGTGAGAATATGAGAATTTAAAAATCAATACTTGAACTTCTCTAGTTAGTGCTGGAAATTGAATTTCAACAAATTGTATAAATTTACCTAGATAACTGGAAACTTTTGATGTAGCACGTATTAGAGACTGTTGTAGTCCCTAACTGATATGCATGGAAGTTACATAAATGTGTCTTTTAGGTGTAGTTAGGGGACATAACTACACCTATAACACACAGTCAGGTCGATACAATATATACTGATCTAGCAAATGCATTTGACAGAGTAAATCATCATGTTCTGATAAACAAATTACAAAACATATTCAGCAACGATCTAACTCGGTTAATAAAGTCGTATTTAACTAATCGTCAACACTTTGTTAGATTCAATGACAGTAATTAAAAACTCTTCATAGCGAATTCTGGTGTACCACGAGGGTCGATTCTAGAACCACTTCTATTTGTCATTTTTATCAATGATATAAGTGATTATATTAAACATTCTAAATTCCTGTTATATGCAGATGATCTGAAGCTGTTTAGACAAATTTCCTCTGCAGCTGATGCTGAGTTACTGCAAGGAGATATCACAGCAATATCCAAATACCGTCATATCAACGATCTCTCATTCAATATACCTAAATGTAATATAATCACTTACACCAGGAAGAAGAACCCCATCATAACAGATTATAAAATTTACAATACCTTAATAAAGAGAACAAACGAAAGCAAAGATTTAGGGGTGATTTATTCTTCAAATTTTAATTTTAATAAACATATAACAATATTAACAACAGACTGCTATAGAAGACTCGCATTTATTCTCAGGGCTTGCCATGATTTCTCTACCGAAACATGCAAAGTTCTATATAATGCATTGGTACGATCTAAAACAGAATATGCCTGTATAATTTGGTCACCCAAAACAATCCTTTATACCTTGAAAAAAATGCAGAAGCGTTTTGTCAGAACTCTACACATGAAAAAATATGGAGACTACCCCTTACGTATCTCTTACCAGTGCCAGTTAATAGATTTTAATATTGAAACACTATTTAGCAGAAGGAACAAAGCCCAATTAACATTTATAACAAATATCATATATGGAAATTTTAATTTACCCGAATTACTAGCCTCCATTAATTTCAGCGTTCCAGATATTCGCCTTAGGCAAAGATACACATTATTTTCCAACAATAATTTATTTTCACCTATTGATGATAACTCTCTCCAAATACTACAGGGGTTCCTGATTAGCAGTAACATTGACCTTTTTAATATGTCTTTCAACAGATTGAAATTAATATTCGATAAACATACATTTTAACAAAAACTATTATAACTTATAACTATTAATATCTTATATAACTCTTAATATTACACATATTATATTTTTATTAATTGTATACCATTGTTAAATTTATTTTTAGTTTTAGTAATTATTGTAAGTGCTACCAAACTGTATAACATGTAAATGGATTGCATTCTCATTGTTTTGCAGTATAAATAAATAAATAATTTGAATAGTGTTTTTCATTTAAAAGGTGCTGACTTGGACAAGAAACAGCTGTTTTCACCCAAATTCAGAGGGCTAAGATCCGCCATATGACATTACCTTAATAAACCCGTTTAAATAAAAGAAAATTAAACAAATAACTTTTTCATTGGTTCTTTAATGAGACAATCGATGCATCCCAACATTTTTAAACTTTCATTATAACACAAGAAACTCATAATTTTTTTTTTTTTTAGAATGTGGACCACAAAATTAAATACCGCTCAAAGAAGGGCCAACTACCATTTGTCGAAGTTAACGGCGATGAAATCGCAGACAGTGCCATCATAATCAAGGAACTATCTCAAAAATTCGGCCAGGATTTAGACGTATGCTTGACAACGGAACAGAGAAATCTGGCGCACGCCACAATTTCCATGATCGAAAATCACCTTGTATGGGTAGTGCTGTGGTGGCGCGCCAAAAATCCCGATCAGGTCTTGAAAGGCTACAAAGTCAACTTGCAACACGCCCTTGGCACTAGGATACCCAACGGAATTCTCAATTTCTTTTTCAAGTTCGCTTTTGGTAGAAAGGTAAGCGAAGTTAATATAGACGAAGGTATTTAGAATTATTAATAAGAAAGTGACTCCACAAAACCTGTCGACAACCATATTTTTATAACGTTATTAAAGCAGTTGGTTCTAAGTTCCAAACAAGTCAACAAACCGTAATTCAAAAACTTTTGTTACTTCTACAATACCATCATAAATGTCACTGTTATTTTACAAACCATTTTAATACTGTATAGGTGGGTCCATGAGACAACCAGTGGCAGTTATTGTGCTCCAAGTCTCCAACCCACAGAAAAAGCTACTTAGAAAGTTAATTCGTTATTTTCATATTATTAATTTCGCTTTGTGAATTTAATGAACAGAAAATTATTCCTTAATGTCGTAAATTGGACCGTAAAATTGGACTTTATTATCTGAAGCGTTTTGGGTTTTGATAACGGTATGAAGGGATAATCGGATCACTCTGAAATCAACCCTTGTTTAATTAATAAAGTTACTGGCTTGTTTGTGCGTGTATATCCTAATAAATATTAGAAATATTGTTTGGGAAATTTTTGAATATCTTGCACTATAGCATTGGTTATGATTATATTCGGCAACGCAAATCGGCAACAGTCGGCAACGCAAATCGGCAACAGGCTTTTGTTTCTACGCTTCTCATTTTCACCGACGATTTCTCTAACTTACTAGCTATAGGATTTAGCGAGATAATTGACACCCTGTTGCCAAAAAATAAGCACTGTACATACAGTGTGTTATCCGAGATTAAGTATGCATGGTGTTTGGAAATAAGTGCTAAAGTTTTTAGGGGGTGATGGCCGAAATCGAATCTCATTTGATTATAACACCATACCCAGACAGGAAAAAATAAGCACTGTACATACAGTGTGTTATCCGAGATTAAGTATACATGATGTTCGTAAATGAGTGCTAAAGTTTTTAGGGGGCGATTGCCGAAGTTATTTTGTTAAAAAAGTTCCCATAAACGTAGATCGAAATCTTCTTTTTCGAGATACAGACTGTTTAAATTTACATTTTTATTTATTTTTATCATTTCAAAGAGTTTTAAAGATGTTAACTCGAAATTTGCAACACGCTTTGAAGGGATAAATATGCATTTTTTTGGTGGTCCAAATATTTATACTAGCACCAGAAGCGTTCTTACGAGAATGCCATGACTTAATAAAAAAATAGTGCGTCACTGACTTTTCTGGTTTTGATATTTAACAAAATAACTTCGGTAACCACCTCCTAAAATCTTTCGCACTCATTTACAAACACCATGTATATGTATAGTGGTATCTCGCTTTTTTTAAGATATCAGGTCGATTAAATAGAGATTGTTTTAGATAATTTAATCCGTTTTTAAACTTATTAAAAGTTATCTAGTTTTTGTGTTATTTAAAAAATATAAAAAATCGCCAATTTTCTTTTTTTTTTTTTTAATTGTGGCTTAACATTTAATTTGAACAGTGTTACATTCTTTGATACACTTTTTAATAGATAATATTTAAAAAAAATCTTTTGTTTTTAAGTAACTTTGTTACTTCTAATGGCGGCCATCTTGGATTTTTACATAATACCTTTTAAAAGATGTGCCACATGGCATCAACATTTTCAAGAAATACGATTAAACTAATATTTAATTTAATTTGGCAACATCGCATCCTTCTAAAGTAGCATGTGGTACACGAAATCATGGTGGCCATTCATTATTCATTCTTTCAATATTATAGGATTGAATCCGATTGATTATACCAACCTCCTTCAACTCAATCTTTTTAGATTTATTGTGGATATCCTTTAATCGTTGGTTAGAGTACCTTTTTTATTGTGGTCTTTTGTAGTAAACTCCATGGACTAGGAAGTAGTTCTCTAGCGTAGATAGTTACTCTTAATTTTTTCTCTCCAAGTGTAAGGAACCTCAGTCTTGATAGTCCTTCGTAGTTCCACAATATATGTTCGGCAGTTTCCTCATTTTCTTGACATAACCGGTACATGGTCTCTTCTGCCCAGCTTATGTTATACATGTTTTTCAGCCTCTAATGTCTTGTTAATAGGTCTATTAGTAGTACTGTAGTAGTTTTCCTATTGTATCTTAGTAGCTGGTCGGTGATTTCTGGTGAATTATTCCACCATTCCTGAGATTTTTATAACATCCATTTGTTTGTGCATGTTCTAATAGCTGTCTTTGTGACACCACAGAAGGGTTCTGGGCTAATAAGAACCTTCTTGGACTAGTAACTTAGCCTCTTCATTGCCCTTATTTCCTCTGGGACCTGGTACCCAGACTAAGGTCAGTCTGTTTTGACAGTTAGGCCTTCTAAACAGTCCCACACAAACTTTAAGTGTATCTACATGGAATTGAGAGCTTTTAACATCGCTTGACTCTCTCAGTACATGCCAATGTTTTTTTCGTTTAGCTTATGTCTTATGCACAGTGATGTATTGCTATTTCTGCTTGGAATACTGTTGCGTATTTACCTAAGCTCAGTGAGATTCTTGTCTTTGGCGTTACACTATATATACCTACTTCTGGAGCCGCCTGTATACCATATGATTTGCTTGAATAGGAGGTCCTCCCGTTCACGTTTTCCTGTCTGGTATACTTAATATTGCTTTTAAAAGCTATATTTTGTAAAATTTCGTCTGAAGGCATTCCCATTATTTGGTCATTCTCCAACTCTTTGTATAGCTCGCTATAGTCACGTCCATCTCTAGATTGCTTGTGGGCGGTAGACCTTTGTGCAGAATGTATGTGACGAACATTTCTTCGCCTTTAATGATTATGTAGTGCTGTTAGGTTAAGCATGACTTCTAGGGCTGCTGATAGAGTCGTTCTCATGGTTCCCGGGGCACTCAAACATGCTTGCCTTTGAATACCGTTGAAGCTGTCGATTGGCTCCAGCTTGCCGAGTCTTTGGCCACCATACCACCGACCCGTAGGTTATCATAAGCCTTCGACATAAGTTAAAGGATGTTGTGCTTTTTTGGTTGACTTTTTTTAAGTGTTAAATCCATGTTAATATGTGGTCAAAGATGACACCCAAGAATTAGGCCTCTTGGACAAACGGAATCTTCGCTCCGTTCAATACTAGTAGCTTTAGTTCAGTCAATATCTTTTGTTTTGTGAAGTTGACTTTTGGGGCTTTTGTGAGGGTTCACTGTTAGTTCCTCCTCTCTGCACCAGCGATGTTTAGAACGGTTTGTGTGCTCTCCTATATTATGCCTGCGCATGACCACTTCTTTATTTTAAAAAAGGGGGCGTCATAGAAAAAAGTTTAGAGGTTTGCTAAAAGTGTTGCCAGAGCGCATCTAGTACGTTCGAGAAATACTTTGAATTCTAGAACTAGTGCGGTGCGCAGCATTTTTGTATAAATAAGCTGTATGCTGTCAGAGAAATTTATAGACATTTGTTGAGTAGGTTGAAAATGAGTGGGATGATCTCATCGCCTTCCACTGCGACCCAGTTGGGTCTATTGTGGCTTATTTGTTGAGTAAATTGTCTATATAAATTACTAGTGCTGATATATAAAATATTATCCATTGTAAAGTTTCTCAAGAATGTATCACTTTGAAATGTCAAATTAACGATAAAGTCGCAATTTAAAAAAAATCGGCAACTTTTAGTTATTTTGATAAAACTATGTTTATAGATTAATCTTGAAAACGGATCCAAAATCAGCGTCAAATTCTCTAAAAATATCCACCATTCAACAGTTCTTATCTAAGTGAGATAGCAATATAGATAGTACGAGTGTATATAAATAAACAATGAAAGTTTTTTAGCTCAATCTATAACTAAAATTTATATTTTGTCGTTGTGAACCCCAATATTTTTGTTACAAGCTGCCACTGCTAAAATCTTGGATCTTTTTTACTTGTAAAATAAACTCCTGCGCAACAAGAATCATGTAACTCATTTGATAAAATAATTTATCTTCTTCCCACCTGAACTTAAAAATGTGTGTCAGTGCATTAAAGCACACAATAAAATGGAATATTGGTTAAAATTTTAATTTTATTAAAAACATATTTTCGTCGAGTTTCATATTAATTATTAGTTTCCTTCTATTGCCCAATTGAGTAAAAAATATTTTCCTTTCTCTTTAGTGTGACTTTATGGAGAATTTATTTGTATATTATTTTTTATTATTATTTTTATCACGACATATTGAAAACCATCTTCTTTTATCTACTCTTTTCAGTGAGCTAATTTTGTATCCTTTTTTTTAGTATTAAATATCTATATTCACAATATTTGATACAATAATTTAAATGAAAAGATGAGAGACAATGACAATACACTTTATCTGAAAACTAGACAAGTAAGACAGGCAATTACAAATTAATTATTACAAATTGTACTTCTACGACATAATAACCCAAAACCACTTAAAATCTCTGTCTACTGACTTGATGTGAACCCTTGTGATAAATGCTCTAAGAGGGAGGAAAATCTTGTAACTGTTTTCTTTGTTAATATACATGAGGGTTGAAAATTAAGACGCACCCCAGAAAGTGCATCTTTTATAAAAAAAAAACAAAGTGGTGGGATACAGCTAGATAGATCATGGTCTTAATATGTACTGTTTTTCTAGAGCTCTACCTACCTTAAATAATTTTATTTAAAAATACAATATAAAAAAAAACAGTATTAATTTTTGTTCTGTAACTAAATCTGTTCTTTTGTTCTATATCATAGCCATCTGTTTGTTGATAGCTATTAAAACAATTAGATATGTATTTAATAACTGCAAGTACAAATATAATATTGATTGTTGGCGTAAATTGTGAAGTCACTTTTTTAAAAAATGCATCTAACATAGATCTGTGTGGATTTGACATGTGTTGTAATGTAACCATTTTTGAAAAATTAAACTAACATACCTAGTTATTCCATTTTGTTTTCCCGTAATTATAAAAAGAAAATAAACAGATTATTTAAAAAATATATGAGAGTACCACCTATGTCTTTCGGATTAAACTCTGAAAATAGCCATTTATTTGTGTATGGGCGG